AGACGTTGGGCTCGAGCTTCGCCTGCCGCAACTCGCTGAGCAGCGCCAAAGCCCGCTGCCACTGGTCGCCTTCCTTGCACGCGCTAATACCAGCATTGTAGCTAACTAGAGTGCACTCGCTCGTGAGGCAAATCTGCAGGCGATTTGCCATTCGAGGGCGCCCAGTGGTCTGTGTTGGTGCGTGCCTGGCTGCGTGAAGGAGTGTCCTGAGGACCTCTTGGGATCCCTTGGGTGCGCTACGGGGCCTCTTGGACTGTCGGTGGACCTGCCGGCTATTGCCGAGCAGGTGGTGATGCCTGCTGCTGCTGCCTGATTTTGATGGTGCTGCCGCCTGCTGCTGTTGCTTATTGCTGGTCGTGCTTGTCGCCGTTTGGTCCTTGCTGATTGTTGCTACCTGCTTGCTGGCTATTGCTACCAGCTCTGCTGCTACTGCTGCGGGGGTGTACTGAGACATGTCTGGAACAGACTGCGGCATCCTGGGCGGTCGTGGGACGTTGTGTAGCTCGGAGCCTCTTAAGCTAAGCTAGACGAGGAGCGCTCGGACCATCCAAGGGCCGTGTTGGCTGGCACCTCTTCTTGCCTCTCTCTCTGGGCTTTCTTGAGCTGCTCTCTGGGGGCATTTCTTTGGGACCTCTCGGGTCTATGCTGAAGCCCTTCGGGACCTTCTCGTGTGGGGGGGGGCATTCGGAGAGGCTGGCGCGGCCACCCATGTGGAACCTGGGGCTATTTTGGAGCAGTCTTGAGCCATCCTGGAGCTGTCTTGAGGACATGTTGGAAGCCAGCTGGAGCCAACCTGAACCACACTGACGGCGTCTGCGGGCTTGTGGGGGGCCGTGCTTTCTCCTTGTGGAGCTCTGTCGGAGGCGAATGGGTCACGACGGGACGACTTCGGAAGCTCAGAACTTCGAACCGCAAGCAGCGAAGGAAATAACGCAACGCATGTTCTGGATTTGGCAACCTCTGCAATCTTGAGTGCCTGTCTAGCTAGAGCTGCCTGCTTGCATGGTGGGGCCACTGCGGGGGCCAAGTTCGTGCTGTCCAGGGGCGGCCCAGCACCCCCTCGAAACCCTGTCATGCTGGCGCCGCGGCATGCCCCGCTTGCTCCTCCCGGAGCCCTGCCACACCTGGCCCACTTGCATGCGCTGCTCTCGGCACCTTAGCGCAGGTGACGTTGGGCTCCAACTTCGCCTCAGACATCTCGCTGAGCAGCGCCAAAGCCCGCTGCCACTGCTGGCCCTTCTCGCACGCACCTACTCCAGCGCAAAAACTGATGGCGTCGCACTCCACCTCGACTTCCCGCATCCCGCTGAGCAGCCACAGGGCGCGCTGCCACTGCTCACCTTTCTTACATGCGCTGACCCCAGCGTTGTAACTAACCAGGGCTGACCCGTGGGCTTGCGCCCGCTAGAGCTCGACGTCGTCGCCGTCGTCATCGCAGACGTCGTCGTCGTCGTCGTCGTCGTCGTCTTCGTCGTCGTCACAATCTTCTTCGTCGTCGTCGTCGTCCTCGTCGTCTTCGTTGTCGTCGCAATCGTCGTCGTCGTCGTCGCAGTCGTCGTCGCAATCGTCGTCGTCGTCGCCGTCGTCGTCGTCGACGACGTCGTCGTTGTCGCCGCTCCTAGCGCTCAAAAATCAAATGGTCCGCTCGGAGGCCTGACCCCCCAAGGGAACATCGGCAGTGCTGCATACGATACCACCTGCCCCCCCCCGGCATAAGAAGGTGGCCAGCAAGCTCATTGCGTTCGGCTATGATCTGACTGCGAGGGCCCCACTTGCTGTGCCAACCATGTCTTAAGCAGCATGATGTTTAACCGGGAAAATCCCAAGGACGAGCCCAAGACTCCGCCGAGTCCGAATAAGCCACTGAAGTAATCCAGTAGCATACTCGTTATCAAAATCCGAGTATGACCTGTAGCATCTCCTGAAGGTAGGAAGACGACAAAACGAAGGAATGAGGCGACGTTGGGCTCCAGCTTCGCACCCCGCATCTCGCTCAGCAACGCCAAAGCCCGTTGCCACTGCTCGCCCTTCCCGCACGCGCTGATCCCGGCGTTGCAGCTGATGACGTTGGGGCCCACCTTCGCATCGCTCATCTCGACGAGCAGCGCCAAAGCCAACTGCCACTGCTCGCTTTTCTCGCAGGCGCTGATCCCGGAGCTGTAGCTGATGACGTTAGGGTCGACCTTCGCCTGCCGCATGTCGCCGAGCAGCGCCAGTGCCCGCTGCCACTGCTCGCCCTTCTCGCACGCGCTCACGCCAGCACTGTAGATGATGACGTCAGGCTCCACCTTCGAAGCCAACATCTCCATGAGCAGCGCCAAGGCCTGTTGCCACTGCACGCCCTTCTCGCACGCACTGATCCCAGTGCTGTAGACTACTAGAGCTGACCCGTGGACTCCGTCCACGACATCTTTCTGGAATGGTTCTCGGAGGAACGGCGCAGATTCTACCGAAAATCTACAAACACGGCGGCGGCTCGGGCGGCGGCAGCGAGACCGCGCCTTCGTGTCCGAGCTCTTGCAGCGCTGCAGCAGCTTGGCCCAGCGCACTGCTCGTTCACCCCCCTCCTATTGAGGACAGTTTCGAAGTCTCTCGGGGATGTGCGTCGAAGTCGAAGCCCATCTGAGGCGTCTCAGGAGCGCTCGGGGAAGGGCTCGGGAGGCCATCGGGGAAAGCCACCGAAAGCGCCGGGGAGGCTCGCAAGGATCTACAGGGAGGGCCCAAGAGAGCTTCAAGAAAATTTGAAATCCAGTGAACTCTTAAGAGAAACCGCTGTTGGGTCGGCCATCACCTCCGGGCGCGCCTTGATGGTGCGATCCAGTCGCATCACCGCCAACGGGAGGGTTTGTTCGCCATGTCCCATTCTGTTCGCCCAGAGGGTCTGTGGAGGCCTTCGGGCGAACAGAACGGGACAGGGCAAGGAATGGGGAAGACATGTCCGAATCTCCTGGGCCCCCCAGATGCTCGTCCGAAGAATGCGGAGAGGTCCCAGGGTCATATCAATTGGCTGCTGTCCCAGGGGTCCGGTCTGCTTGGCCCGAAGAGTTTGCCAAGGCCCCTGGGGGAACAGAATGGCACAGCATATCGGGCAAAGGGGGGCGGTAGCTGGCCTGTCAGACCTGGCGTTCGTCTTCTGCCCAAGCGGCGCGGGGCCCACGGGCCCCAGGGTTGGCGTCCCGCTGGGATTCCTCTTGTTCGCCCACAGGGTTGGAGGAGGCCTCCAGGCGAACAGAATGGGGCAGGACAATGAATGTGGGAGACTTGTCGCAAGCTCCCAGCCCCCCCAAGTGTGCGCCCGAAGGGTGTGGGGCCGCGTTGGCTCCCTCAAAGGGCCGTCTTGGAGCCGTCTAGGCCCGTCTTGAGGGCGCCGTTTGCCCTGATGGGGCCGTCTTGGTTCGTCGTGGGCCCCTCATGGGCGCGTCCGTAGGCCGTCCTGGGCCCATCGGGGTCCTCGTGGGGCTGTCTTGGAGCCGTCTGGGACCGTGAGGAGGCCGCCTTGGAGTCGTCTTGGGCCCCTCCTGTGCGCCTCCTTGGGCCGTCCTGGGCCCAGCAGGGGCCGTGTTGGCACCCTCTTGGGGCTGTCTTGGAGCCGTCTTGAGCCGTCGCAGCGCGCCTTGGGTTGTGCTGGGTCCGTCTTGGCCCGTCTTGGGGCCTTCCTGGGCGGTTCCTCGGACCCTCCTGGGACTTTCTGGGGCCTCTTGGTGCATCGGACCGCCGAAACGGCGGGAAACGCAAAGGGTGTAACAGTAAACAATGGAAAATTAACAATTTTTGCCAGCTGGGACTCTCTTGCCATCTTGGCCCGTCTTGAGGCCCCGAACGGGCGCGTCCTTGGGCCGTCCTGGGCGCACCCTCCTGGGACCGTCTTGGAATCGTCTTGGGCCGTCTTGAGCGCGCCTTGGGCCGTCCTGGGCCGGTCTGGGGCCGTGTTGGCACCCTCGCGGCGAGGAAGCTCGGAGGCGGGCTCGAGGCCTCTTCGGGGCCATTTTGGAAGCTGTTGGGGCCTCTGTAGGGGCCTCGTTTGGGCTCCTTGGGAGCCTCCTGGGGCCTCTTCGGGGGATTCTTGGCGGCCCCTTGGGGCCTCTTGGGGGCCTGTTTGGGCCTCCTGGCGCCCTCTTGGGGCGGAAGGCTCGGATTTTCGGTCCGTGGTCCCCCTCTTGGCCCCTTCTTGGGCCTGTCTTCGGCCTGTCTTCGGGCCCTCGTGGGCCGTCTTGAGCGTCTCTTGGGTCGTCTTGGGGCCCTCTTGGGCTGTCTTGGGGCGCTCTTGGGGGCTCCTCCTCCTCCTCCTCTTCCACCTTCTTCTCCTCTTTCGCTGGATTCTCCATGCCCTCGGTCGGCAATCGTCGATCCTACGACGACTCTCCCCAACAGAGAAACATCGAAGGCCCTCGGAGCGTCCAACATTGTTCTTTTGTGCCTTCGATATGCCGGTCGCCTCTCGTCCGCTCCCCCCCTCCTGGAAGCAATTCTGAGGCCACTTAGGGTTTCGTGGGGGCCGTTTGGGGATCTCTTGGGGCGTTTTTGCCTGCGATATGCCTGTCGCCACTCGTCCGCTCCCCCGCTCCTGGAGGGAATTCTGAAGCCACTGAAGGCTTCGTGGGGGCCGTTTCGGAGCCTCTTCGGCCTTCTTTTGGGCCTCCCGGGGGGGCTCTTAGGGCCCTCTCGGGCCGTCTTGGGTGCCTCTTGGGCCGTCTTGGGGCCGTCTGAGGCCCGCCTCGGCGCCTCTTGGGCTGTCTTGGGCCGTCTTGGGCCGCTCCTGGGGCCGTCTTGGGTGCCTCTTGGGCCGTCTTGGGCGCCTCCTGGGCCGTCCTGGGGCCGTCCTGGGGCGTCTTGGGACCGTCTTGGGGCCCTCCTGGCCCGTCTTGGGGCTCTCTTGGGGTCCTCTTCGGCCGTCTTGGAGCGGTCGGGGGGACTTCTTGGGCCGTCTTGGAGCGTCGGGAAGCCGAAGAGGCGAGGAGGCCGAAAACATTGAAAAACACAATAGAAATCTACCATTTCTGTCGCTCGGGGCCCTCTTGGGAGGCCTCTTGGGAGGCCTCTTCGGGCGTCTTAAACGCCTCTTGGGCCGTCTGGGGCGAATCTCGGGCGTCTTGGGCCCATTTTTAAGCGTGCCGGGGCTCTCCGGGGCCGTCTTGGGGGCTTCTGCATGGGGGCCCTCTCGACATGTCCTGGAGCCTGCCTGGGCGGCCCGGGGCGGCCCGGGGCCAGCCCGGGGCGGTTTTGACTCATTGGAGCCTGCGCCCTTCTGGCACGCACTGGGCCCTGCAATGTAGTAGAGACTATGGCTGACCCATGGGCAACCGTCCACGACAGCTGAATCGCGTGAAGACTTGAGGTTCGCGTGCCTATTCACCTGTCTGCTCGCCTGCTGTCCTGCTTGTGTGATTCACAAGCCTGGTGGCCTGATAGCCTCTGGCCCGATCGCCTGCTTTCAAATGTGCTTGCTTCATTGCTTGCCCGTCCGCTCGCTGCCACTTCCTGCCGCTTGCAGGTGGTCGGTGCTTACTGCTGCAACATTCTTCATGCATAGACATGCTGCCCTTTTTTGGCCACTGTGGGGCAGTGTTGGCCGTTGCGTGCTGCTGCCCGATACGGCTCTGTAAAACCGCGTGGTTCAACTCCTGAGTACTTGCTGCTGCCGCGTGCCTGCTACTTTCGTGCTGATGCTTGCTGCCGCTGTTGCGATGTAGTTGTTCTGTTATGCTTGTCGCTACCGGTCGGCGTTGCTGCGCGTGGCTGCAGGGCGCTGATGGGTTACATCCCAGCTCTGCGTGCTGCGTGCTGCGTGCTGCTGCTGCTGCTGCTGCTGCTGCTGCTGCTGCTGCTGCTGCTGCTGCTGCTGCCTGCTGCCTGTTGCGTGCTGCAGATTGCTGCTGGTGTGTGCTGCAGCTGCTGCTCCGAAGGCTGCTGCGTGCTGCGTGTGGCTGCGGTTCGCTGTTGAGACGCTTGATGCTGCAGGGTGCTGCTTCTCGCTACTTTTGCCTGCTGGCGCAGCTGCTCGTGAGAGGATCGAGGAGCCAGGAGCTTGTAGCGAGGAGCCAGGATCGAGGAGGGAGGGTGAAGAAGCGAGAGGCGATCAGCAAGGAGCAGGAAGGGAGGAGCGACGAGCGAGCAGAGAGGGGGGGGGAGGAGGAAGGGGGAGCCGGGGAGAGAGGACATGGGGGATGGAGGTGCGAGTAGCCAGGGAGGGGGGAGCGAGGGGCCAGGAGACAGGGGCGAGGAGTGAGAAGGGAGCGGCAGGGAGCGAGAGAGCAGGGGGGGGGGCGGAGCAGAGGGCGAGGAGCGAGGAGCACGAAGCCAAG